CAGATTCCCTAGCTCCAGTGCCCAGTGGAGGGCCAGATTCCCTAGCTCCAGTGCCCAGTAGTGGGGAGGGTTCCCCAGTACCTGAGCCCATTAGCGGGCCGTTTATCCTAGCACCAGAGACTCCTGAGCCCATTAGCGGGCCGTTTAGCCTAGCGCCAGAGACGCCTGAGCCCATTAGCGGGCCGTTTAGCCTAGCGCCTGAGACCCCTGAGCCAGCTCTGAGCAGTCTAGAGACCCCTGAGCCAGTTCTGTGCCGTCCAGAGACCCCTGAGTTAGCCCTGTGCCGTCCAGAGACCCCTGAGCCTGCTCTGTGCCGTCCAGAGACCCCTAAGCCTGCTCTGTGCCGTCCAGAGACCCCTGAGCCTGCTCTGTGCCGTCCAGAGACCCCTGAGCCAGCTCTGTGCCGTCCAGAGACCCCTGAGCCAGCTCTGTGCCGTCCAGAGACCCCTGAGCCAGCTCTGTGCCGTCCAGAGACCCCTGAGCCAGCTCTGTGCCGTCCAGAGACCCCTGAGCCTGCTCTGTGCCGTCCAGAGACCCCTGAGCCTGCTCTGTGCCGTCCAGAGACCCCTGAGCCTGCTCTGTGCCGTCCAGAGACCCCTGAGCCTGCTCTGCATACTTTTCGAAAGGCTTCAGAGATCGGGGTTAGTGAAGATACGCATCACCGGGTGCCCCAAACCGCCAAGAGCCCTCTGCGGGCACTTCAAGCCACCTCAGAGACTGAACCTGTGCCGCCATGGGCAGTTTCCTCCATGCTGGATGTGGAGCCACAGTCGGTGGTCTCCTCCGTTCCTGGTGTGGAGCCGCAGTCGGTGGTCTCCTCCGTTCCTGGTGTGGAGCCGCAGTCGGTGGTCTCCTCCGTTCCTGGTGTGGAGCCGCAGTCGGTGGTCTCCTCCGTTCCTGGTGTGGAGCCGCAATCGGCGGGCTCCCCTGTTCCTGAGGTGGAGCCGCAATCGGCGGGCTCCCCTGTTCCTGAGGTGGAGCCGCAATCGGCGGGCTCCCCTGTTACTGAGGTGGAGCCGCAATCGGCGGGCTCCTCCGTTCCTGTCCAGGGGCCGCAATCGGCGGGCTCCTCTGTTCCTGTCCAGGGGCCGCAATCGGCGGGCCCCTCTGTTCCTGTCCAGGGGCCGCAATCGGCGGGCTCCTCTGTTCCTGTCCAGAGGCCGCAATCGGCGGGCCCCTCTGTTCCTGAGTGGGTAGCATCCAGAATTTACTCGAAACGAAGTCATTTAGAATGTTTTTAGAGCATAAACAGTAGTGTATAGGATTTCCTGAAAGCGTGCACATGCGCGATCACGACGCTACGGAAGCGGGCAGACCAAACCAGCGCATTCAGCTCGGCAAAGAACTCATGCTCTTCCTCAACACTGAAGTCCTCAGACATTTTTCTTTCGTTGTTTCTTTCTTTGCACAGGTAAACGGCACATTTCTTCTTCTACGCTTGCATTATTGGAAGAGCAGACGCTGAATGCGCACTTTCATCTGGTTTGGTCTGCCGGCTTCCGTAGCGTCGTGATCGCGCATGTGCGCGCTTTCAGGAAATCCTATACACTACTGTTTATGCTCTAAAAACATTCTAAATGACTTCGTTTTGAGTAAATTCTGGATGCTACCCACTCAGGACACTTGGAATACATTGGACGACCAGTATGGAGGAATATTGACCACCATAGACCTCCATTATTTGAATGTCAGCAGACAGCAAGAAGCCTCCCAGATCTCCAGATGCATTTGAGATATCAAAAAAGTACTCCAGGGTGTTGTTCAGCATGGGGGTGAGTAGAAAATGAAGGCTAATCATGTTTTGGCTGTACTATTCCTTTAATTTCTAAGCAGCCAATCACATGGTGGCAACGAGCATCATTATGGGGAAGAAAGGTGATTTGAGTGACTTTGAACGTGGCAAGATTGTTGGTGCCAGAAGGGCTGGTCTTAGTATTTCAGAAACTGCTGATCTACTGGGATTTTTACGCACAACCATCTCTAGGGTTTACAGAGAATGGTCCGAAAAAGAAAAAACATCCAGTGAGCGGCAGTTCTGTGGGCGGAAATGCCTTGTTGATGCCAGAGGTCAGGGGAGAATGGCCAGACTGGTTCAGGCTGATAGAAGGGCAACAGTGACTCAAATAACCACCCGTTACAACCAAGGTGGGCAGAAGAACATCTTTGAACGCACAGTACGTCGAACTTTGAGGCAGATTGGCTACAGCAGCAGAAGACCACACCGGGTGCCACTCCCTTCAGCTAAGAACAGGAAACTGAGGCTACAATTTGCACAAGCTCATCGAAATTGGACAATAGAAGATTGGAAAACGTTGCCTGGTCTGATGAGTCTCGATTTCTGCTGCGACATTCGGATGGTAGGGTCAGAATTTGGCGTCTACATCATGAAAGCATGGATCCATCCTGCCTTGTATCAACGGTTCAGGCTGGTTGTGGTGGTGTCATGGTGTGGGGAATATTTTCTTGGCACTCTTTGGGCCCCTTGGTACCAATTGAGCATCGTTGCAACGCCACAGCCTACCTGAGTATTGTTGCTGACCATGTCCATCCCTTTATGACCACAATGTACCCAACTTCTGATGGCTACTTTCAGCAGGATAATGCGCCATGTCATAAAGCTGGAATCAACTCAGACTGGTTTCTTGAACATGGCAATGAGTTCAATCTACTCAAATGGCCTCCACAGTCACCAGATCTCAATCCAATAGAGCATCTTTGGGATGTGGTGGAACGGGAGATTTGGATCATGGATGTGCAGAATTGAGGCAGTTCTGAAGGCAAAAGGGGGTCCAACCCGTTACTAGCATGGGGTACCTAATAAAGTGGCCGTGAGTGTACATCTGCTAGTTGCAACACAAAAAACAATGCATTTAAAGGGACTTTTAGTCAGTTTTGATCTTGTGCTTGTTTAAATTACTTTTGTCAGGATGGTGGTTAGTTTATCACAAACATAGCAGCTCAGGCAAAATGTGAGGAGCAGGCCTACTGATTGGTTAGTTTATTAAAAGGTTGTTCACCTGAAATGTCCTGTGCTCGAAATGATTAGAGAGGTATCTGTCCACATAGGGCTACATGAAGAGGTTTATCTACATGCTGTCTGCCCAATCTGAAATATTTCTATTCAACTGGTAAAAACATACTCTGGAGGCTTCATGGAAATGTTAATTATTTTGAATTGTAGCATGATATTGGATGTTTAAGAAAGGAACAGGAAAACTTCAATTTAGGAGATTCAGAGAGCCAAAGGACTTTTGACTGTAACAGACGGTTAAGTACCAGTAGAAAAATAAACCTAAACACACAGCCGAAGATACAATGGTCTCCTATCGACCAAACCACATGCATGTACCATAGCATGGCCCATTCAAAGGCCAGGTTTAAATGATATCGAGAATTGACAGCGAAGCTTGAAAAGTGGATGCTAAAATTCTCTTTCTTTGCTCTTAAAGCATTGAAAGTTGGTTCAACCAAACCTAAATGGGGGAGGAAACACATCTGCAAATCTCTCTTATTGTCCACAGCGAGGGGACATTCTTCTTCATCAATTTCTAATTATTTAGATAAAACATATCAGACCTCTTAGGGTCTTTCTAGAGAACTAAAATTCAATCATCAGTTGGGAAATTTTAAATAAATCAGATGGATATAAAGGCAAACATCCTCACCAAAGTTTACACTCAATTCCAATTGGAAAGCAGTATAGATAAATCTGGGCTTACGTTTACTTAAATTCTTTTTCTAACCCAAGAGCTACATACTTACAAATCTGAGTAGGGCTCAGATCTTGAAATAAACATCGATTTTCAACCTCTTGTTTTAATGCTTGCATGGTCAGACTTCTTGAGGTGTGTATATATTGATTTTAGAAAGAATCAAAAAACCCACATGAGGAAAGGTTCTATGAAATAGCTTGGGCTATAAACGCCAAAGTTTTTTTTTTTTTTTATTAAAATGTGATTGTCATCTGATAAATAAACAACATAGAACATGAGTTGAATCTTTGTTCACATGGGAACATTTTTCTATAATTTTTGTAAGACTTTCCCAGATAAGGGAAATGTTACAATCTAAAAAACAAACACAAAGAAGCAGGTTTTAACAAACTGCATCTACCTATTAAACTGTAAACCTAAAATGCATTTCTTTTCCAGAGATGATGACATTTTGATAGATACTTAGATAAGATTTATCTCAAGTACCCGTAGGAAGCTATTTCCCAGACCCTCCCAGAGCTCAGTTCATTAGCTTGCATATTCAACCACCAATAAGAGCTAAGGGGCTGTGGGGTGATGGGAATAGAGACGGATACCTGGCTCAATATTAAGGAGACTGCTTGTTCAAGTGGCAGGTACTGCTTCAGCCTCCATGCTTGAATTTCTTATCCTACTCCTCAAACCTCAGAATAAACACCTTTCCCTGAGGGAGTGCCCAATGCTGGTTCCTTCTACTAATTACCCATGGGTCCCACAAATGCTCCAGCTGGTTGGCAATGTGGGAACATTGCAAAGGCAGGAGGTGCAGCAGCAGCAAAAACAGCTAAGGAATCTGACTAGGAAGAGGAATCTGATTAAAAGTTTAACATTGCTTTCCAGGTCAAATAGAGGAGAATTCAGAAGTTCCGTTTTAATCCTCTCTGGTACATTTTGATTGGAGCTTAAAAAAAAATGAATACTTTAAATCAGTTTATTATCTTAATCTCAGTAGACCATGACTAACCTTGTGCCTCCATAAAGGCATCTTACATACAGTTGTCAGAAAGAGGTCTCCCAGAAGACAATGCAGAACACATGTCAAAGACAAATTCATTGATCATTTTGACACAACTGTTTGCCGAGCAGCTTAAAAGATTGGCAGCTTGACAGCAGAACGGTTGACACTAATTGATCGATAGGCGCTTAACTAGAGGAGACCTCTGACTAACATGAAACTTCAATTGCCTACAAATGAAGTGACGCGTTTTCTGACTTGTCCTTGGTTCCGAAAACAGTTTTCGCACTCACCGTCTCGTCCACGTCGATCCGGCATTGTCTTAGAAGGGCCAGAGGAGACATACAGAAAGCCATCCATGAAGAGGGACACATCAGGGAAAGAAGACTTCTCTGACCACTGACCCAGTCTTGGGAAATCTACAAGGAGGGACATTAGACATAACAGCCATTAGTTTCAAAATATCCCATGCTATTCCTCAGCTCTGCCCTCAAATTTCTTTTGGGACTGAGATCAGGGTTTATTCCTTTATGAGCAACATTCTCATTAAGCCACTTTGTGACTCTTTTGTTGTGTCAATCATCCATCATTCCATGTCGATGATTACACATACATATATGTTTAAGACAAAAACACAAACACAAAATGCATATTTAGATTTCTAGCTCTTTCTACTCAACTATTTTTAAGAAACAAGAAAGAACTATCCCAAGAGATGTCCTATTTTTCCCCAGCTGTCCTTTTTAGAATGATTGATATGATTTTTACATTTTTCCACTATTGTTATTTTTAATTTGTGCTTTCTTAAAAAGCTGAATGTTTTTGTTTTTATTTAAAAAGGCTTACTTGCCTTTATTTAGGACTTTCTTTGGGACATTAATAGACTAATATATTCAATTTATATGAGAGGGAAATTGTTTGTTTGAATCAGCTATGAGTAGACATTTTGAAATATTTCGTTTGGGGTTTGGTGCACTTGAGGTTAGATTAAAATCATATAAGAAAATGGCAGAATCGTTTATGTTGTCTAGTAGCGGATGTCAAAACAGGTGTCATAATATATTCATTTTAAAGGTTGGCAAGAAAAAGTGATAAAAATAATCACAGACATTGACTTAGAAACATCAATTTCTGTTGCACTGTCTGTTTTATCCAATTGTCCTTGAGGTTTTAAAACATTTCCATTGACATATACAGAACAGTTTTCAAGCATAAAAGTCAGTACCATTTGATCTGATGATTAGTGACTATTGACTTGGCGGTAAATAAGTAAATTCTTTATATTTTTAATGCAGGTGACATGGTCTTAAAAATTATTGACCTTCAACAGTATTTGCAGACCAGCCGTGTTATATTCCCAACTTGCCCTTAAGCAAAACAGTGAATCCCTACCAGATTCCTGACTACTGTTCTTGAACCAAAGCCCTACCTCCATGTAGAGATGTTTTTCCCCTTTGGCCTGGATAAAGCAGCACAGGACCACCTTTTCAATCACAAGCAGCATACAGGGATCATATAAGATTCTAGTTAATATTGTAGAGACTTTGTTACATGGTCCTACTTTTGCAAAAGGCAAAGATAGGGTGTTCAAAGAGTGTTTCTCTGGCGATCTTTAAAACATTACTTTTTACTCCGTGTCAATACGAATATAAAGCATTCCAATCTAGCACTCCTTAAGATGAACTCCCTTTACTCATCCTTTTTTTTTTTTGCCAGCTTTAAGAGCTCCCCACATCAGCCTTATCATTCTCAAATTCAATTAGTTTTCATTCTGAGGTCCAATTTACCTACAGAGCATTATTAATATCTTTGAGATTTTATCTTGGGCACCTACAGCTCTCTCACCAAGCAAGTTAAAATAGCTAATTGAAACCAGTTTTGCTGAACCGACGTTTCCACCTTTGATGACATCTCAAAGGCCTTGTCTCATGGCCATGTGCCATTCATAGGAGAAATAAAGAATCTGTTGATCAACATGGCTCATCTTTATTTTTGTTGCAGGTTCATTATTGTCTCAAGTGATATCAATTTATAGTTATATCAAGGTAACAGCAAAGCCCTCCTTAATATATGAGAATAACAAACCAAAAAACAGATGGATCATGCACCAAACAGGCATGCACTTTGCCCATAATCAACTTCAAGACCTTCTGGAAGACCACTGGGCTAGGGAACAGATGAACATTCCTATGTTTGAACATAATCTTTATCACAGACAATTCATGATTTTAACAGAAGTCTGATAATGTAACACAACTACATTTCAGAGGTGGGGGTTAATTCCTTCTGAACATGCCCCTCTAGATGTCACTGAAGTTTCCCTTACAGTATAAAAGTGCCCGAGCAGAATTCTGTAATTCCTGAGAGGGGCAATATTCAACACCCCACCACCACGAGGGATGCTAAGATGGCTCTTACTCTGTACTGCGGTTCGGCCCATAGGCTAGGCTGAAACAACATTCAGAGAAGACTAAAAACCCTCTGATCCACTGGGGTAAAACCAACATGAGACGGCTCTGCCTGGGGATGAAACAAGCAGAGGTATCGTCAGCCTCAGCCTCTACCTGCGAGGCACTCCAGAGTAGAAGAGATTACAGGCTGTCTAAAGGAGTGGGGATCAAGAACCCAGGTTATACGTGGGTGAGCTCGACTATTTATAGCTAATAATGCTTCACCTATTGTAAAAGCTCAAACTTAGGCTGCCCCGCCCCCAGCGAAGGGACGAACCTCGTCCCCAAAACCAGTTTAGGCATTCATAGATCAGGTCGCCTCTACCTCTGATTGTTGTCCAGTACTCCTTGTACTGGTCCCTAGCTGTTTACCTTACTGATGAGGTGTCACATAAGGAGTAACCTGACCACCAGGTGCTTCTTGATTAACCCATACCCCATAAGCACTGAGCTTGGGGAAAGTAAAAAAAGAAAAAGAAAAGCCTGGTTCTTTAGCGACCACACGGGTGACTTATGTATTCACTCTGGAATTTTTGTAGTGCAACACAACCCCCAGGTTCTTCACAGATCTTGGGTTTCTCCAATCATAAATGAAGAATACCACTGTATTTTTCTCCAATTTTTAAGCTTAAAGACATAGTCTTGTAATACCTCTTTTGGGATGGGAAGATTTCACAGATGTAATTATTCATTTACTAATTCTCTTTATTTACTTTTTCTTTTGAGGTGCCACAGACTTCTATTTGAGTTAGCTCATTGATGCCTCCTTTGGAAGATGTTACAGGCATGTCCCCCCCGAGAGGATTCCAAGGGGAAAACACAGGACATGCTGGATAGACTATATTGTCTTGGACTGCCTTGAGCTTCCCCAAATAGAGCTGGAGGAGGTATCTGAGGAGAAGAAAGTCTGGTAGTCTCTGCTGAGACTGCTGGCCCCCTTGTCCCAGATGAAGCAGAAGATGATGATTCAAGTATGAATTATATTTAGATTGGTGCTATTTGTTGTTTTAATGAGATCTTCTAACCTACTTTATGTGGTCACATGGGTGACTTCTAAATTCTGCATGTGTCCTGTCATATTGAACAAAATCAAATGGGATAATTCCCAATATAGTTATTTTTTGTTTCATTTTGCAAAAGCCAAATATAGGTTAGACAGATTTTATTTTGCACTATATATGAAATATCTTAAAAACTGCCATCAGTTATTATAACAATTTAGAATGAGCTCAGAGTAAAATTATTTCCTATGTTCTTACTGATCTTAGTAAAAACTGAAACACTAACATAATTAGAGAAATCAAAAACCAGAAAAAACTTTTTTTCATGGCTTAGTAGGATTAAACCCTAAATTTTTAACAATGAAATGCAACCAAATTAGTGTAAAACACATTCACAAATAAACTGAAGTGTTTCCAACCACTCAGGTTGACAGAATGTAAATAAGCCAGTGGCTTGATGCTGTATCAGTTGTAACAAGGCTCTCTCTGTGAGCATGCTTAACAACCCCTCTGGGCCCCTAAAGCTAGACTCTGTTAGGATGGGACTGTGTTGTCTGCGGGGGTAGCAGTGGAGGAGTCTGGCCTGTGCTGATTGGCTCACTCCCCTGTGAAGGGAGGTGACATGATAGAGTGCTCAATTAGCCATCTGCTCGCCCACGGCTGCAGTTACAAAGCAGGCTTCGATAGGCAGTGGACAGCGGGGGTAATCAGAGAAGCTTGTTCGCACTCGTGCATTTACACGCAGACACACAGTTAATACGCAAACAGAAAACACAGGCAAGAGGAGCAAAGATAATACACAGCATAGGCAGAAGATGAGAGGTAGAAACAACAATTTGTGCATGTTATAGAAAAAAAGATTGATCTACAGTTTCCAATGGCCTTTTTACCTTTTGAGTATATTCAGATTTGCAATTATTGAATCCAAAACAGTACCTGGGGGTACAATTTTTTTTTTTTGTGCTTGTCAGCTACTCACCCTTTAGATGTCAGCTTATAACACATAGAAATGATCTGTGCAAAAACAGTGCTTCTCAATATTTTTTATTGTCTAAATTTAGGAAATGTCAAGATGTTTTTAGCTTTTTATCCATTAATTAACTTAATGTTGCGCAGAATTGTGAAGTTACAAATCAGATTACATGGTAATAGAAGTCTTAACAAATGAATATTAAAGCTATGGTATGCCTTTGATTCTTACCTCATTCAATCAATAGTTTATAGGATCATTACATATGGAGTCATTACAATGGAATAATGACTCGATTACAATTAAGTCATTACAATGGATTACAATAGAGTCTATGGAAGACTCCACTACTTCCTGAACTTAAGGCAGCTCCTTTGTTTTCAGTCTTTCTCTTTGGGACTAACTGATGAATCCTGGTGTGCCTGAACACAGTTACCATAACAACAATGGCCAGACACATTAGTTAGTCCAGTAATGAAAAGACAGAAACAAAATAAATGTCTTAAGTTTAGGAAGTAGTTGAGTGTTCCATGGAGCCCAATACATCTGTAAGCCTGCCACCAAACCTCTTTTTTTTTTTTTTTAAGACGCTTTGACACCGGTCCAGTACTCTTTGTAAATTCTGTCGGCTTGCACCATAGCAATCTGTCGGACCAACCATAGACTAACTATGGATTGCTCTGGTGCGAGCCCACAAAATTGACAAAAACTCCTGGATAGGTGTCAAAACTTCGTCAAAAAAGCTGAGGGAAAATCTGGTTGCCTTCGAATGTAAGCATATTTTGAGGTTAACACATTAATACAGTTTGATCTCACACACTTCAACATAACTGCAAGGTTTTAATCCTGCCAAAACATAAATCTATGTCATATTTCACAGCCTGTAATATGTTTTCTTTAAGGTTAACTGTCACCGGAAAAGGTATATTCTAGGGATGTCTTCAAAAGTGGCTTTGTCTTTTTGTCTTTTTCAAAAGAAGACAGATTCATGGACTGCA